AATTAGATTATACCGACTACTTCCTTTACTTCATGTGAGAATATGTTGATGTAGGTGAGTTGCCAGATATAGTGGACTGAATTATTGTACTGCATATATAATACTGATTTGCGAAAGAAAATCGCACATCTATTTCCAAATCTATGCGAATATTTTTTAACAATATGTACAAGAAGGAGTTGGCCGATATAGCTCCTGTGTTAGCAGAAATATTGGGGTGTGTTAAATTAAGAGACAATCAGACTCTTGTTTCAAATTGTATATAATAATTAATAATTATTCAACATTTCAGCCATTTGTTTGGGGAGGTACCTGAAGGAGTGGTCAGATATATTTCACCTTCACATCAGATCTTGTGTTGATAAAAATATTGGGATGTGCAAAGTTTGAAAAGAATCTTTTGCTCACTTCGAAGTTTATGAGCTTCATGGTTATTAAAAATGTTGACCCGTTGTGGGGGAGGTACAAGACGGGATGGTCCGATGTGTTCCATCTTCATACCAGATCTTTTCTTGGTAGAAATATTGAGGTTTGCCAAATTTGAAGACAATCGGACACCTGTTTCACATTTTATAAGAGTTATAACTTTTCAACATTTTGACCCTTTGTGAGGGAGGTTCTTGATGGAGTGGTTAAATATTACCCATTTCCGCACCTCAACTAGAACTAATAAAATTATTAGGATGTGCAAAGTTTCCACAAAATTGGATGATCCTATCTTTTTCTATAAGGAAAATTTTTTTTTTGTGAAAATGTTGATCTTTTAGGGGGGGGGTAGGGGTGTACCAAAAGAAGTGGACCTATATTGCTCATCTCCGAATAATATTTGACAATAATAATACGATGTATAAAGATTGGATCAAATCGAATACTCCCTTCGAGAATTAGATCGGCTCCAAATGTCCTGAAATTGATTTGGTCCAAAAAAACTTAGGATCTAAAACCATTACTTCCATGAGGTACATTTTTGCCGTATCAAATGATATTTACCCTCTGTAGCCATATAGCTTAGGGTATAAAAATGTACATCCATGAAACAACGGGTTTAGACCCAATTCCTCATTAGCCGAAATCCATTTCAGAGAATTTGAATTTGATCGGAATTATCCGGCAATGTTCTAGTTGGCTAAAATATTGTTTTAATTATATATCCTCGTTTGGTACTGCCTGTACTCACATGGCGGTTCGAGCTGACTTGAGGTATTTTAAAGACTATCGGCATTTTTAATATTTCTTTAACCGATAGATATTGAATGAAGATGCACTTCTTAGTAACTTAACTTGGTGCCTAACTTTTGGATAAAAATTAAAAATATATTTTACATACCGCATAGAAATTGAAGGAAGTTTTCCTATTTTTTACATTGCGAACAGTATACATATTTTATTCGAACTTCAAATGTGACTTTCCTCAAACTTCGAAAAATATATTCCTTAAACTTCGTACTTGGTAAATGCAAAATACATCTTCATAAGTCTAAAATATCCCTGTGTTTACGACTTATAATGTCGGATTCTTGGATAAAGCGTTTTTATAAATATTTTCAGTATGTTGTTCTTAAAGAATGATTTCGTTGACAGTGAATACCCCTAATGCGACTTGCGTTTGCAAAATATCTATAGCAGCGATTTTTTGTAGTATTTTATTTTTTATTTGTAACAATTGTATCTGTGTGTATCTGCCATGTTCGTATTTATTTTTGCATTATGTTGCAGATTCGGTTTTTTTTGTTGGGTGTGTGTGCATGATTTTTTCTCTGTCCTCCTAGATCGTTGTTCATTTCGTTCGATATTTTTTTTGTAGCGTGTGGGTGTAATTTTTGATTTTTTGTTCGGCTTTTACATTGTTTCTATACGATACGTTTGGTTTTTTGTTGTATAAAACATTGTAGCACAACGTAAACATACAACTGTTACTATTTGTGTTACATTCTTGCTGAGTTTGCTGTTACCCTTTTGCATGTGTGAGGTGGTAGTAGGGGAGGTAGGGAGGTGTGGCATAAGTATTATTTTGGGTACTCTTCGAAACGAAAAGAAAAAAAACTAAAAAAATCAAACCGGAACACATGCACCGAAGTCAAGCATTTGGCTAGGGGAGCATAGAGGAACATTTAATGTTCCCGATGATTTTTCCCTTGTCAGAGCAAAATAACCTATGTGCATATTTTCTAGGTTTTTAGAAATTTCGATTTAATGGACCATAAATATATGATTTTCGCCTAAAAAAGACAAAACTCAAAAATTGGAAATGATTTTATTATGCCATCAGCTATATGGCTACAGAAGGTATATATCATTTGATATGGCCAAAACGTGCCTCACCGAAATACTGGTGTTTAGTCTTTAGGACTCTTTTTACCAAATCTGTTTCAGAACATTTGGAGTCGGTATAGAGGTTCCCGTCCATCTGTCTGGCTGGTGTGCCCTATAACTCTCGAAGGGAATATCCGATTTGATCCATACTTGGTACATCATAATATTATTGTCAAACTTCGATCCAGTTACGAGATGGGTAATATCGGTACACTGAAAACGAGTCGACATTTAGAATAATTTAAACTTGATTTATCTAAGCATTCCTTTTAACCAGAGATCTTATGTAAACATGGGATTTATTGATTCACTCCTTTTGATACTTCCCCCACAAAGGGTCAACATTTTGAATAATTACAAATCTGGAAACTTCGCGAATCTCTATATTTCTAATAACCATAGATTCAATGAAAATGTGAAATACATACGCTTTCTGTTATCACTCCTACAAATGTTCGACATTTGCCAAAAAATCATCTCATATAAAGTGGAGGAAGTAGTCGATATTGCTCAAACCTGCCACGTCGTAATATTTATATTAATTAGGTCAAATGCGAAGTGGATAATATTGGTCCACTTCTTCGGTTAAAAATATATTTTAATAAACTGACATAGGCTGAGGGTAAAATTATTGGTTGGCAACGTGGACCTGTAAAGTACCATTATATAGGAACTACATCATATGTTGACATGATTCTTTAATATGGTTCTATACCCCCAAAATAGCCTAAATATAGGAGATACCTTTATATGGGCACTACTCCGAAGCATTGACCTTCATTCTAAATTTTCTTCGAAGAGCTTTTCTACCCGCTTAGAAACCAAGATGCCAAATAAGCGCCAAACCAATTGAAAAATAGGGCCAAGAATCCGGAAATAGCCGGGCCGAACTTTTAATGCTCTCCACGATTTTGAAAGAACTTGAAACATTTCCAAAAAATTCGTTGAGAAATGTCGTTAAAAGGAAATCCGTCATGTGGGGCTATACGAAGACGTGCTCCTGCATAAATAATTTTGGTCATTGCCTGTCGAACCCATTAAGAACTTTAAATATGAATTTTGAAACAATTCCGATAAAAATGTCGGTAATAATGAAATTAATTCCGGTGAATAATATCTTTAAAATCATCAAAATATCGAAAAAAGAATAGTGCTGTTATATGTGGCCTATATGAATTTGTGGACCTGCATACATATAGGCTGTAGTACCCATTTTGAAGTTTAAATACGAATTTTGAAACAAAGTACCAAATGTCGGTTGATTTCCTTTTTAAAGGATACGATATCATGGACCTATATAGACCATTCTCTTACTGTACTCTAAATGAATTCCTTGTGCGGAATATCAGACAATTCCATTGAAAAACGTGGCTAAAATCATCAAAATACCGAATATCGGGGGTTACCGTTATATGGGGTCTATACAATATCGTGAACCAATATAGCCCATCGTCGAACTTGACCTGCCGCAGACAAAAGTCCGAGCCATGCACAATTTTAGCTTTCTGTCATAATTCGTTTTGAACCTAGCATGGTTACAATAGGCGGACGGACGGGCAGGGCTAAATCGCCTAAGAACTTTACTCTGGTCAAGAATATATAAGCATTACTATTACGATGACTTAGAAATGGAATGACGAACTTAATATACCCTCCATACTATGTATCGTTGAGGGTATAAAAATATAACTAATGGAAAATTTACTTTAAAACGGGAAAAAAGCCCCCTTATATGGGGGCTAACCAACGACTTGCATCAAATTTTAAAGCTCTATCTTAAATTTTTGAAGTTAAGTTTAAAGTTAAGGCTGTATATAAATACATATATATATATATATATATATATATATATATATAAAATGGACCCCAAAAAAATTTGGCCTAGAAACTCAAAGCCTTTTTGGGATTTTGATCTTCTAACCAAATGCTATCACAGCTACCCCTACATTGGCTATTAAACGGTATTATGCACCATTATTTTCTAATTTTTTTTTATTTTCTATTTATTATTGCCTTCTTAAAGTTTAACAAAATACTTAAGCTAATTTGCATATCAACGTATTTTTTTTATTTGTTACCATTACTTTTTGGCAACATCTAAATTTGCCGCCTTGTTATCCCACACCCCCCCATTTTGTTGGGCCAACAAAATATGTGTTTTTTTTTTTTGGTGTTGCTGTTGTTGTGGCCTGTTTGCGTTTTCTGAGAGTGTGTGTTTTTTTAATATGTGCGGTGGTACTCGCGCAACGATCTGTGCGTGTTGCGAGTGTTTTCTTTTAAATGCTTTATTTTTATTTTTCTATTTTATTTTATTTTTTTTTTTTTTAATTGTGTAAAAAATTTCACATCTTGAGATGAGTAACAACATGAGCACTGGTATTGGGACAAGGAGTTGTGGTATTGAATGGCATTTGAAAAAGAAAAAGTGGTTGTGGTGGTTGTTGTTTTTGTTGTTGGGTTTTTTTTTTTGGAGTGCTTGTGGTAGTGTTAGTAGTTACAATACGTTTTACTTTTGAAGGAGTATTACAACATCAAATTTTTTTTTTTATACATATAAAACTTTCAAACATTTATTTATTTATGTTCGTTTGGTTTTTTCTTTTTTCATTTCTTTCATTTAGAGAATTTTCCCCACAATCTGAACGCCCTTGCATTGAGAGGCGTCAGAATATAACAATGAAACTTACCGGTGCTGGAGTTGGGGTTGAGTTGCCGTTGCTAACGCCATTAAAACCATGAGCACTCAAAGCTGAAGTAATGGTTGAAGCACTCAATTTGGTGTTGCTGTGAAGTGGGAGAAAAAAAAGAATAAGATTGTATTAGTGTGGGGTTTAGATTATCATCAGAGATTATTGATTGATATTGATTTATATATATATGTATATTGAATTGTAAAAATGATGATTGACTGACTGATTGCTTCGGAAACGTCAAGACGAAACGGTTGCATCGTCGAACTGAAAGGTATTATAATTTTGATGATGATGCTACAACTCTATAGTTGTATAGCTATAATCTTGAAATTACCCATGTTGGTCACTGTTGATGTGGGTCATACTATAAGATTGAGTTCATAGAAATTTAAAAATACTAAAAGTTTCTTGGAAATAACAAATATTTTACTGATAGGCCCGGATTCTGCAATTTGGAGTGAAGTTTGGTCTTAGTTATGCAACAACTGCACTAAATACGAAGGAGTAAAACCATAATCCTAAAATTATACATTGATAAATTTTTGATGTGGGAGGGTAGAAACGACAAGGCAAAAACTAGAAACTGTCTATTGGTTCATAGCATGATATAAGGTAACATTTTTGCAAATTCTTAGTGAGAAGTACTAAAATTGGAGTGGTTTAGTTTTATGAAGCTAACATTTTCTGTGAAAAAAAGTCTTGAAAATCGGGCTGTTTGGTTACTAAAAAAAAATACCAATAGAATCAGTGGCAAAGGAATGCAGTTAGTGTCCTGAAATTGTGTGAAATTTTATATTCAATATATTTAAAATTGTTCAAACTGTGGTTTTCGGACTTAAACTCTGTACTTTCAGAGCTAAAATTCCGTATGTTTGATACTATTGGCCAAAGGCAAATTTTTTTTTTCAAAATTTGTATTAAATGTTATAAAAAAGTGAAATCATCGAACCAGAGTTTTGAAATTTGGTACGTATTCTGACGAAGTTAAAGTATTCTGGAAGGTAGATTAACAAATTTTTACTTTTATTGTACTGAACAAATGATTTCAGCTAGTATTTGTAATTTGTACCAAATGTGTAACAAAAAAAAACTCAAAAAGTCGTATCAAAACCACCATTGGTGCGAGGCTAATAAAATTCACAATTTTCGGAAATTCGTACTAAAGACTACTAAATATTATACTGAGCAGAAGCCAAATTTGGACGGTCATGGGGTAATATTTAGGGAGTGAAATAAACTATAACTTTTATGTAGCAAAATATGAAAGTTTCAGCTAAACCGCGAATATTTTTAATCCCGGCGAAATCGCAAAAAAGGTCACTTCTGACTATTACAGTGATGCTGATAGCCAAGATATCGGATATATAGCAAGGATTTTTACAATTCTCATTAATTCGGAGTGGTTTTTGTCCGAAAAGAAAATCGAGTAAAAATATCATAATAAACAAGTAAAAAAGCAGCTAATTTCGGCCGGGCCAAACTTTTAATACCCTCTACCATTTCGAATGAACTTGAAAATTTTCAAAAAAATCCGAAAACTAACACTTAAATAAAAACCGCATTATGTTTTAGGGTTGCCATGCTAAGTGTGAAATAGGCAAATATATGGGGGTTATATGAAGACGTGGAGGTATCAAACATTTTTGTCATAGGCATCGCAATGGGTACTATTACGAACTTCAAATACGGAATTCGAAATAATTCCGGTAAATAATGTCGCTAATATCATGAAAATACCGAATATCGGGAGGTAAAGGTTTATGGGGGCTATACGAAGACGTTGGCCTGCATTCGAAATTTTTTTCAATAGGTTATACTAAATTTGAAACGATTCCGATGAATAAAGTTGCTGATATCGCCAAAATACCGAATATCGGGAGGTATCATTATATGGGGGCTATACGAAGACGTGGACCTGCACAGACAATTTTCTGTTTTAGGCTGTAGTATCCCTTTCCGGTTAATAATGTCGCTAAAATCATAAAAATATCGAATATCGGGAGGTACCGTTGTATGGGGGCTACATGAAAACGTGGACCTACATGGTCCATTTACGATCTTTACCTGAACGAAAATTTGTATGAGAAAAGAGTTGAGGACAGGGAAAAAGCCTAGCATTTTGAGTTACCATTGAAAGATATTTAGTTGCAAAATGGACCACAACATGTCACAACACGTGTCAAATTGTTGTGAATACCGAACAACACGACGGAGTGCGTAAATACTGGGCAAATGCCCCTGGTCCAAAAGCTAAAGGTAACATCTGGGTAGAGTTCTATGACATTATTTCAAGAATGAAATCTTCCAAAATGGATTTGGACCTATGGGGCTACCTACATATTGTAGTTTCACTTGGTCGGCCCCACAGGACTATTGTCTTTGCTTACTTGTTTTTATTTTTAAAATATTGATCCTTTTCATCGGTATCTTCCCCGATTAATTAGACCGATCAGTCCCATCGACTGATATAGGCCATATTTAATTTGTAAATGTACCAAGTTTGAAAATAATCGAAAGCCTCTGTCGCTTTTTATGAGCGTCATGGGTATTCCAAAGTAGTGGTCCGTTCCAGCCTGTCTTCATACAAGATCTAGGGTATGTCAAAATATTGACATGTGCAAAAATTTAAGACAATCGATCTTTTATTTCAAATTTTAAGAGAATTACAAATATTCTAAATTGTAACCCTTTGTGGGGGATGTATTGGAAGTGGTGGGCCGATATTGTCCATTTTCACAAATATTAGGATTTACAAAGTTTGAACAAAATTCTGTGAGGTAAATTATTTTCTTTACAAATTTTGAACTTTTGCATTCATCATGATTTTTCAAAATGTTGACGCTTCGTAGGGGAAATATCAGCAATAGTGGTCCGTTTCAGACCATCTTCATATAAGATTTAGGATTGGACGAAATATTGATATGTGTGACATATATCTTATTTCACATTTTAAGAGAATTATGAATATTTAAAATGTTAACCCTTTGTGGGGAAGGTACATGATGGAGGGGGCCGATGTTGTCCGTATTCATACCTCACATATCACAGATAAAAATATTGGGTTTTTCAAAGTTTGCATAAAATTTAAAGATCCTTTCCGTTTATATGAGGAATGTTATTTTCTTTCAACATTTTTAACATTTGTGGCTGAGGTACCCGAAGTTACCTGAAGGAGTGAACTAGTAGTGCACATCTTCGAACTCGATCTAAATTTGATAACATATTACGGTGTACCAAGTTAAATGAAATCGGTACCAGCCAGTCTGGCTGACCGACAGACAACGAGATGGACGGACACTGCTAGATCGACTCCAAAAGTCCTAAAACGGATTTCATTTAAAGATATCTAGGGTCTAAAACTTTTATTTCGATTTAGCTCGTTTTGGCTATATTAAATGAATATACTACCATCTGTAGCCATATGATTAAGGATATATTTTTAAATAGCAAATATATTTAAAGCAACGCATTTATGGGAGTTCAAGGAAGACGTGATCCAATAATTGTCTTTATTGGAACTATCCATCGCCGGTAGAACCGTCCTAGATACAACGCAAACTGTTATGCGAAATTTCAAGGTTCTCTCTATGTACTTCTCTCTCTCTCTAACATTTAAACGGGTAGACAGAGGGCCATCCTTTAATGAACTCAAAATCTTACGCTGAGGTTAAACATATACTTTATAGGGTCTCTAACGAATATTTGAAGGTGTCACAAACGGAATAGATAACTTAGTACACCCTTCCTATAATGACAGAGGATGCCAATATATAGGCTTGATTGTTAATTCTTGTATTGCCTGTACTTATGCATCAAATATCAAAGTCTAAGATTTTTTATACCAAAAAAAGAAAAGAATTATGAAAAAACTGAAAAATTACAAATTTTTTGGCCGGGAGAAAAAAATCTAATTCAATTTGTGTGCATTTATTTCCACTGGGAGAAAGAAAAGACTATTTATAAAGTCCTCGAAATTAAGTGAAGATGACAAACCAATGTTACCCTTGATCCCATTTCTTTTAATCTAACAAACTTTTAGAAATTTTCAATAAAGTACTGAAATCCAATCGTTTCGAAAATCCTCTTTATATTTTTTAGGCACCATTGATCTCTTGTTTGAAATGTTATTTTATTTAAATGGTCTTTTTTGTGCTTCATTGAAAGTTTGTAAACATAATCTGTTTATTTTTGTATTTTTTTTTTATTTTACAACCATTTCCATTTACCCCTCCACAATGCATTCAGAGCCATACGAATTGTTTTTTGCTATATGTTTTCTTTTTTCTCATATAACACTGACCAACCATCCATATAATTTGGCGTTCGTTTTTGTCAATATTTTGCCGATCCATGCATGGCTAGATGCATTGGCATAAACCAATATGTTTTATGGCTGACATATTGGCAACCGTATTGACCACATCACCAATGCGCTAACTATACATTTTTGTTGTATATAAAGATGAGTACTTATGTAAATATACTGGGCGAGAGTGAGTGTGCGTTTTAATTTTCTTGCATATAGAGTAAATAGTCAAAACGGAAATGCTTACACAGTCACACGCACATACATATGTTTATTATTAAAACATATCCTCATACAAAACGGTTGTTGACTACCCAACATACCAAAAATACAATACAGCTTGAGAATAATATTATGAAAATAGTTTATCATAAGAATTTTTCAACAATGCTTGAGAAACACTTTTTTGCACAAACTTTTCTCAAATCTGTCCTTTGTTGACAAATTTGTTTTGATTTTTTTTGTGAAAATTGTCAACAAAAAATTATTTTCTTTGGTTAAAATCAAAATCACGCGAATTTAGGACCCATTTCCGGACGAAACTCTAAGGTAATGATAAATAATAAAACTGGGAATCTGTAGTATAAATTATTTCAATCTCATTTCAGAATGGAGGCGTCAAAAAGTTGCAGGAATTCAACAGAAGTGAAGAATAAGTGGAGGAGATACAGAAGCTCAAATAAGGGGAAAGAAAGCATCTAGGTATCAAGGCAACAGGATGCAGTGACAGCTGGGATGGCAATCAATGAATGAAATATGTAAAATAATTAAAAAATGAATAAATAAATATTTTTTACCATTGAAAAAATAAGCTTTATAAAATATTACTTTCGTAAGCTTATTCTGCAATTACAAGAATAAGCTTATGAATAAGGGTTCCTTTTCGATTATTCTATAATTGTTAAACAAACATTTCTCAATACATTCTCAAGATTTTCTCAAGCTTTAGGCTTATGTTTGTAAGCTTATTAAAATATTATTCTCAAGTCAATTTGGTATGTTGGGTAGTCACAGCATATCCGCATTTATTCATTTGATGTGTAATTCATGTTACTTTTATTGTGTATGTGTGTGTAGGGAATAATTTTGTAAACATGCACATTTGCACGCACCACACACACACAAATCTCATACATGGTAGATTATCTGGCATTTTTGGCAACTTTTAATTTAATTTTGTCATACTTTTCATATGAAAATTAAATTGTTGTTGATCCCTGCATCATCAATTTGATCAGCAACGTCATCAACAGCATCATCATGACCGTAACCAACATCATAAATGGCATTGCAATGTTGCGGCACACCAATCACATTGGACGCCAACAAATGGTTGACAATTCGACTGTATGAATTTGTAATGCTTACAAACCCGCCCGCCCTCCTGCTTTGCTTGCTGGTGTTTGACATTTTTCCGACCTTATTGAGGTTGATTTCAATTTGGGTAATCATTTGTCAAAATTTTGAAAATGCATTTTAATTTCATTTATTTGACAGTTAGATTGAAACGTACCGCCGCCGTCCTCGTCGTTGCGTTGAGAGTTCTGATAAATGAGATTTATTGCGGTGTTTCACAGTAATTAATAGTAAATATTCGAATACACATTTGGCTATTTCAAATGGCTGAAATCACAGAACATGCAATAAATAATATGTAGCTATAGAATGCATGACAAATTTGTGGACCACTTAGTGGTGTGAGCGTGGCATTTTCATTTGAAGATATATACATATTTTGGGATTATTTTGTATGAAGCCGTATTGCTAACATTTTTGAGGTTTAAATATTTAGCAGGAGGAGGAATTTAAAAACGAACATTTTAGGTTTGTTTTGAATGAAGGTTTTAAAATGAAAGCTGAGGCTTTGTGATAGATTACTGAGAGTTCATAGAGATTTTTGTGTATGCAGCAAATATCTGAAGAATGTACTTGAAAAATGAATGATCAGATTTTTAAAGACGATAAAAATTAATTTTAAAGAAGCAGAAATTTAAAGAAATTAAATTCTTTTTACAGCTTGATCTGCATTGAAAGACATTATTGTCAATATTTTGATTTATGTTCTGTATGAGGGTTACAAATGTACCTATAGCTCATTTACTCAGAAGGGGCATTACGTCAGGTTCATCCGTACCTAATTTTTAATATCCTTCACAATGAGGTTTATAATTAAGAGTATCTGGATTCGATACTCCGAGTTCACTTTTGAGCTGCAAATTCCAGTGAAATCGGTTGGAAAATGTCCCGAAGTTGGCGGTACCATTAAATGGGCGCCATATCACAACATGAAGTCTTCATTTTCTGCTACAAGGGGTCTAATTTATTGTGAAACAATCTGAGAACAAAATGGGTAAAATCGACTGTGGATGAACCCATTCGAAAAATAAATCCGAATTTTAAACAAATCCGATAGAAAACGTGGTCAGAGTGCCGTTACGTGGGGTCTATATGAGAACATGCTCCTAATTATGCAATATCATTCCACAAGGTGTACCGGTACCGTAATATGTGTTCTACACCAAATAGGTCCTATATGACCCATTTTCAATTCCAAAAAATTCTGCGAATCTAAAACTCATATATTGCGTTTGGAAGCTAGAAAGATTTTTACAGACGGCAAATTAGGCAGGCAGGCGAACGGACATGGCTAAATCAACATTGAATTGTATTTTATAATAATATATATAATAATATATATTACGATACATTGTTTAGTAATTTATGACCAATAAAAGCATTACAAATTTTGACCCTTTGTGGTTGAGGTACCAGAAGAGGTTCGGAGATATATATCATCTTCGCAACAGATCTTGTGTAAGCAAAAATGTAGGTATGTATGAGATTTGAAGAGAGTTGGATCCTTATTACGCTTTTATGTTTCACAATCTTCAACCATATGTGGGAAGAAGAAATGGTCCGATCCCTACCATCTTTATAACAGATTTTCTGTTGATGGCAATATTTACATGTACCAGGTCTTAATGGAATCGTTTTATGAGCTTCATAGATATTCTCAATTTTGGACTTTTGTGGGGGAGGTACCAGAAGAAGAGGACCTATATATCCCTGTAGAAATAATGGGATAATGTGGATGAAATATGAAGAGAACTTGATGCTTATTTCGAACGGATGCTTAATTCGTTTTAATTATTCAAACCTTTGTCCCTTTGTGCGTATGGTCCGATCTCCACCATTTTTATAACTGATCTTGTGTTGAAAAAAATCTTGAGACGTGCCAGGTTTGAAAAAAATCGGATGTGAATTTCACGTTTTATAAACTTCATGAATATTCAAAATTTTTGCCCATTGGCCCGATATATATTATCATCTTTACACCAAATCTTTAGTTAAATAATTGTCATGTGTGTAATTTGAAGATCACCAGATTCATATATCACATTTTATAAGAGATATAATTATTAAAAATTTTGACAGTTGGTGGGGGAGGTATTTGATGGATATTGACCGATATTGTCTATTTTCGCACCTGACCTAACACTGATGCAAATATTAGGATTTGCATAGTTGGAGCAAAATCAGATAATCCTTACTCTTTCGGATTATCCTTTCTCTTTCTCTCCTTTTTTTTTTTTTTGAAAACTAAGACCTTTTGCGTGGGAAATACCAGAAGGGGTACACCTATATTTCCCATCTCCCAACTTTATCTAAGTTTGATAAAAATATTACGATTTACCAAGCTCGGACCAAATCGGCTACCCACTACGAGAGATATGGCTGAAGGTATAAACATTGTCCCCGTATAACTGTACCTTTTGATATTCGAATTTAGAATTTATAGTTCCTAATGGGTACTACATCCTATTGCTCATACGGGTACACATCTTTGTATAGCCCATCCCTAAATACGGCATTAAAATTTTTTACAGGAATTGTTTCAAGTTTCGTATTTGAATATCGTAATGCCCTTAGACAAAATCTGCATATAAAGGTCCAATGCCCAAATATAAGGTTGCCTTATTATACCCTCCACCTTGGAAAGGAGGGTATATTAACTTTGTCATTCCGTTTATAACATCCTTAAATATTCATCGTAGACCCCATAAAGTACATATATTCATAATAAGCATAAAATTCTAAGCCGATTTAACCCAAACTCCCAATATTCGGTATTTTGGTGATTTTAGACACATTTTTGCACGATTTTCTCTGAAAATTGGTAGTTGTAGATCATAATGGGTCCCAGTCCATGTGGCGAGTTATTGAAATTATAGGTCCACGTTTTGGTATAGCCCTCATATAATGGTTACCTCCCGATATTCGGTAATTTGATGATTTTTGCAACATTTTTTCACGGATTTGTCTGAAAATTGTATATCTCTGTGTCATAATGGGTTCTAGCGATTTGGCATAGCTCTCATATAACGACACTTCCCGACATTCGGCATTTTAATGGTTTTTGCCACATTTCTTCTAATGTTTCCTTTACCATAAGGTGGAGGGTATTAAAAGTTTGGCCCGGCCGAACTTAATGTTTTTTACTTGTTTTTATTATATTTTCAGTTTTTTTAACAGATCTTTTTTTGAAAAATTTCTTTTAATTAGTGGAGGGTGTTCAAAATTCGGCCCGGCGAATCTTAGTGCTTTTTCAATTTTTTTAATTTCTTTGTTTATTAGTGGAGAACGATGGTAATGTTTACCAGGGGATAAGGCAGGGAATACTAGGTTTCGGGAAGAGCCACCAATACTCATCAGTTCCCTTGCCCTGCCTTACCCCCTGGTAAACATTACCATCGTTCTCCACAAATAAACAAACTTTGTTTTTATAAAAACAACAATAAACGATTTAAGCCTGACCATTTCGCAATAACAAAATTCTATGTTATCCCGAACAAACAAGCCACCACTGTTCTATTATTTTTTAAATGAAAAATTGTTCAAAAAAGAAAAAAAAGAAAAAAATATTAAAAAAAATGAAGCTCTAAATAAAATGTTGCAAAATATATCTCAAATTTTTGGCCCCCATTTGTATGTGGTAAGGTTTATATAAAGGCAGTTAAGAATAAAACCCCGATTTTTGACTTTTGGTCTACAAACCGAGTACTATCAGATCCTTTTGAAATTCCCAATTTCCGGAAGGCTATTGGATAGTGACATTATAAGAAAATTTTCAACGAATACGAAAGGTTAAATTTTTATGATATATATTAAATATAGAAATAGAATATATTAAATATATAAAAGAATCAGAAAATAAATCCCTTTTTTAAAAAACTAATATTATAAATTAAGAGTGTGTAAAATGAAACAATATTCGCTAACGAACGCTTTTTCGTTCAAAAATCCATTTTAAGTACAAACACAATATTCCCTTTTGATTAACAAAAAAATTGAATCCACCAGACATCAAACATAAATTGAGTGCTTGCAAATATAAAACAATTGTGCCACACTCAAAGGCATGGCTTTATTAAATAAAGCTGTTTGGCTCGCTGTAACCCTCTCAAAAAAAAAAAGTTGTAATATTTTACTGCATACAATATTGAAATTATTTACAAATATAATTATGGCCGGTCAATGTATCATCTGCCAATTCAATATACAATTTTTCTTTTTATTGAATATTTTAAGTTATACTTACGGTTTGATTGGTACGGGAACATAGCCATCAGTGCCGGGTGGTGGATTTTGCATGGCGGCCAATTTGGCATGGATGTCACAGTACAACTTGTTGTTGAAATTGTAGTAACCTTGGTTTTTCAAGCTGGTGCCACAAGTGGCGCACTTGAAGCACTCAACGTGCAAGTTCTTGTCCTTGATGCGAACGAACACACCACTTCAGGGAGGGGTGGGTAGGAAAAAGTAAAAAAATAAATAAATATATCAATTAATTTTGTTTTCTTTTTTGGTATTCAAAATGGAATGAAAGGATTTTTTTTTTTTTTGAAGGATGAGAAGGAGAACAAAGGCACACACACACACGTATTTATGGAAATTGACTTTGAGGGGAAGTTGATGGTAATGTGAACATTTCAAATGGATATATTTGATGAAGAGAATTTAATAAATTGCTACTGAAATAGTGTTATATTACCTGATATTAAAATAGTTTATGGCAGATATGTGAAAAATATTTGTGTGAAATAAAATAAAAAATAATAGGGTTTTATTGGAATTCCATAAATAATGATTTAATTGGAATTTATGGCGATTTTTTTTAACATCACATATCAGCAAATATTTTGTAGAAAACTAATTTAATTAAAACACGATAATATAATAAATAAAAAAAAATATAATAATGAAGTCCTCTGCCACCAACTCCCATAATTTTGCGTTTTTAGGGACTTTTTAAGGACTTTTTTAATAATATTTTTAACAACTAAGATTAATAACCTTTGAAAATCACGGATTTGGAGAAATATGTTTCCAAAGAGTGGCAGCAATCGTATTTGTTATCACATTTTTTTTTTCATGGACCAACAGGCCAATATTCTTGAATTTTTAATAAATATTTTTTTTCGAATACCGAAAGACCTACAATTATGGAGTTTCAAAGAATTATTTTTCAGAATCAAGAGACCACTAATTGTGGATTTTAAGGACCAACAAGGATAATCTATTTATTAAATATTATTTATAGGTATTTTCGCAATGACATAATTAATAGTTTTTGAAGGAAATTTTTTGCAAAGACCTAAAATTGTCAAGTTTTTAGGGTGCCCCAAAAATTTTTGATTTTTACAAAAAAAAAAAAAAAATATATATTTTTTGAAAATATATATTTTTTTGTAAATCTAATTACTGTAAATTTTCCTCAACATCCAATAATCGTGGATATAACAAATGTTATTTTTTAAATCCAACATCACCGTGTACTTTTTTAAATATTTTTCAAAGATTCAATAATCGTCAATTTTAACTTGTTTCTGGATTTTTTAAACTTTTGTTTAAAATAAAATGAATATTTGTAGATATTCTTTTAAAATCTATAATCGTGTAATTTTTTAATTTTAAGGCTAAAACAGTTTTTTTTCATTTTCTTTTTTTAAGATTCAAAAATTGTGTATTTAAAAAATATGCAAAATCCAATAATCGTGGATTTTTTATAAATATATTTTCAAATCCAACAACTGTGAAATTTTAAAAATTATTTCCCTTAATCCAATAGTTGTGATTTTTTTGAAACTTTTTTTGAAAAAAAATCAAATGTTCACCAAAAAAATAATAAATAAAATAACTTTTCCAAAATCAAAAACTAATTTTGTTTAAAAATATATTTTAAAACAATCAAAGATATTAAAAGGTCTTTAAGAAAATATTTTATTTTAAGAAAAATATTATATATTAAAAATAGAAATTATTTTTAAAATTTTTTTTCAGGGGCCAATAATTGCGGATTTTCAAGGGAACAGTAATCGTAATTTTTGAACACAAATGTTTGGTTTTGAAAATTATTTTTTGAAAAAGCAATAATCGCATTTTTTATTTATTTATTTTTTTTTTTTTTTTGCAAAGACTTAAGATTTTACGAATATATTTATGACTACGGTATTTTTTAAATATTTTTTAGTTTTTGAAAATGGCTTTGGGCATGGATTTTTAAGAATGTTTTTTTTTAATTTTTGAAAATGTCTTTTAACTTTGTCATGGAGCAATAATCATGGATTTTTAATAGTAACATTTAAAGACATTAAAATCTTAGACGATTGGAATTTTTTTAATGTGCAATTATTGTAGGTTTAAAGAGATTTAAGGACCAACAATTATAAATCTCTTTCAAATATTTATGTGGATCAATTATTGTAGGTTTTTTTTAATGTTAAGAGACGAATAAATTGTTGATTTTATTTTATTATATTCCTCAAGGATCATTATTTAGGATTATTCAGGTACCAACAGGAAAAATAATTTTTCTTTCTAGGAATAATTTGACTAAAACTTTTGATTTTTTTTCAGAATATTTTCAAGAAAGGAATTTTTTCAGAAAGTTTTCAGGGACTAATAGAAAATCATATTGAATTCCTTTTCAAACACATTTCCTATTTCCTTTTCACTTTGAAATTAATAATTCAACCATGTCATATAAATGTAATAAATTTTCATTGCATAAAGTTGAAAAAAAAAAAATCAAACCTTCCGTCGCCACTTGAATTCAATACAACACTCGACTTTGTTTTTTAATTGCCAACATTTTACGCCATGCATATATTTTTGCAATTGGATTTTCTGATTTAAATTCTGATCCGTTCTGCCTCCTGTGCGTTCGCCACGTTCATTTAACACATTTACGACGCAAAAAAGGGGCAATTGTAAATTCTATTAACATAGCCTTCAACAATTTGCGGTTAATTTATCAAATTAATTTTCCATGAAATTATGACGAACTACAGGGGAAAAGAGAAAGAGAGGGAGAGTGGGTGGAGTATATGGAAAACGCCATAATAATGTATTGATTGAAAACATAACTCACTAGCAATTAATTTACGCTTTATTAATCATAATGAGTATTGAAATTATATTATGAACGATATCGTTGAGCATATGTGCACATCGTGAGCTATGATGAGTTCAAGTTTATCCGCATACACGAAAAAAAAAAAATCAAAATGCGTTTGTGTGTGTTGTATGTGTGCACCTCATACGCGAGATTTTATCAATTAAATATTAAAACCTTAATAAATACAAACAGCACAACAAATTACCACTAACTATGTATGTCTACATACAAACACGTATTTATGCAATTGCATTGTATGTGGGTGTGTGTGTGAAATAGAACATAATATGTTTATGTATGCATATCACCTTGTGGAAGACAATACTAGGTATGTGTGTATGGCTACGAGGCTGTTTCCGCTAGGAGTCTGGTATTGGCGCCCTTCTCCTTCACAAGGATACTTTTGATGTTAAATTTATAAACCTACATACACAGCCACACACACTGCAAAGCGTACATGAAAATATTGGTCGTAGACGGGTGCCCACAGATCCAAAAATATAGTAACCGAAGTAAAATGAGAGGATAACAGCCTTTATGTGCTATGTAAAATACGAAGGGTCCTTCAACTGTTATTCAATTCGTTTATATGCAAAGGGCATCGTTAAAATCGTCTATATGCGGAAAACCTTTCGAAAGTCTTCTATAGATTGAAAGCTCGGAGATATATTCTATTGACAGAACATTTGTAAAGAAACGACCTTTCCATATAAGCCATATAAAGGACATTTATCGTCAGAAGGTCTTACGATGATGTCTGAAGTCTTCATGAAAATATATTTTTAAAAATCAATCCACGGTTGTTGGATCTAGAAAATTTGTTACAAGAAATGAATTGTTATTGATAAAAAAAAAAAAAACTTTTTCAAAATCTACGATAATTTGATGTTGAAAAATTAAAAAAAAAAACAATTGTTGAATTGTGAAAATATATTTAAGAAATCTTAAGTTTTTGGAAATTGAAAATATATTTAAAATTTTTTAAAATAAAAAAATAGTTTAAAAAATGAATTGAATTTGCATTAAAATCTATAAGTTTCATGTGGTTTCTGGCATGGAAGACCCTTTTGATCAGTGAAATGTCTTCTAGTCATAACCGAGAGGCCTTCTTGCCACATACCAACGGTAAGAGGACTTGTAGCCATAGAAGGTCTGTAAAAGGTAATCTAGCCAAGGAAGATATGTAAAAGGTTTTCCATCCCTGAAAGAGATTTAGGAGGTTTTTAGCCCTAGAAGTCCTATTCCTGGTATGGAAGATTTGTACGAGTTCTTCCAGCTATAGAAGAAGACTTGTATGAAGTCTCCTACTCATAAAAGACGACCTACATAAGGCCTTCTAGCCAAAAATACCTGTAGGAGGTCTTCTAGCCATAGAATGCCTGTTTGAGATATCCTCTAAGACCTGTAATGGGTCTTCAAGATATAGAAGACCTGTAATAAGTCTTCTAGAACTGTTTTAGGTGTTCCAGCTTGAGAAGATCGGTAAGAGGTCTTTTGGCCATAGAATACCTTTAAAGGTATTCTAGCCATATAAGACTTTAAGAGGTATTCTGCCTAGACTTTAAGAGGTATTCTGGCCATAGAAGACCTGTAAGAAGTCTTTCAGCAATAGAAGATTTGTTAAAAGTCTTTTAGCCTTAAAAGACCTGTAAGAGGTATTCTATGCATAGAATATCTGTAAAACATCTTCTAGCCATTTTAGACTGTAAGAGACTTTAAGACCCATAAATGGTCTTCTAGCCATATAACATCCATAAATGGTCGTCTGGTGCTAGAAGACCTGTAAGAGATCTTCTGACCATAGAAGACCTCCAAGAGGTCATCTAGCCCTAGAGAACCTGTATCATATCTTCTAGCCATAGATGACCCGAAAGAGGTCTTCAAAGTCACAAAAGACCTCCAAGAGGTCTGATAACCCTAAAAGTCCATATTATACCCACCATAGTTAGAAGACTTCCCCATGAAAAATTTGATGTTTTGTTTTTAGTCTGTAAAAGGGTGTCTATATCTAGAAAAACTGTCAAAGTTATTCCATTGGAAGATATGCGGTAAATGATCCTTAAATTATCTAATCTTTTCTTCAGAACCCACGGTATAAAATATGTTGTGTATATATATGTGTGTGTGCTGGCTACTGTCTGCAACTCTTCGGTCGTTTGTATGCAATTGCATATTATGAATATTTCAATTTAAATGATAATTTGTTGAGTGGCGGAGTATAGCTTCTGCTTTGGTTGTAACTGTCTGCAATGTATTCACACAAACAAGCACACACACACACACACACACCATATTTTAACAGGGTGCTTGTGTGTGGGAGCGGGTGACCATTGTGCGATTGTTGTTGGTTTTCGGTGAAAACGAGATGTGGCTTCTGGTGATGGCTTCAACCTCACAAACACACACTCACACACAAAACAATTGCAATTGTAAAATGCAATGACGGCACTAACAACAACGACAAGAAGAACAATATAAAAAATCATCGCTGGAATTTTTAATGATGCTGAATGCGTATTCCGGGAATTTTATATGATTTCTCTCTCCACACACAAACACTCACACATACTCACACCGATTTGTATTGTTCTTCTTGTTGTAACAATGGAAATTCAACCGAGTCTGAGAATGTACGAAAAATATTTTGTAGCTTGTTACGATTACGGTGAATGCTATAATATTTCATATATTGGGCGAGAACACAGTGAAATAGTGAGGGTAGGTGGGTGGTGGAAATATTTAAACAGACGAAACAAAAATAAATATTACAAATTATAATGTTTACAAAATTATACAGACACCAATGGGATAGTGATTTTACGAGAGGACAGAGGGGATATCCCAATCCTCTCCCAACACACCGTGGTACCAGGAATAAACGAGTATTTTTATTATTTATCTGTAAATCCTTACACTATGCCAACACCGCACATCGAACATGCCGGATGTCCGCTGGCTGTATATGGCTTTGGTTGATCGCTGTCGCCAGCAGCAGCAGCGGCTGCTGCCTTTTCCATTTCCTCTTTATATTCCGGCGTTTGCAAGGCTGGACACACGGGCATAACAATGAGTCTGGGATCAGGTTGGTCGGGTACAGTTTGTGCAGCTGCTGGTGGTTCAACTTTTTGATGCTGCTGTTGCTGCTGCTGCTGTTGTTTTTGTGCCGGGGCCGGTGTAGGCAAGCTGGGACGATGCGAAGCGGCCGGTGCCAGGGTATTCTGATGCAATGGTGTACCAATACGTTCATCCTGATCGTGGGGCAACGGTGTGCGTCTTTCATTGCCACCAATGGCATGACTTTTGGTGGCATAATAGCTAGTTGCACTTGGTGGTTCTAGAGGAACGTAGGTCAAGGTTTGAGTGGATGGGGGATAGACAATTGTGATTTATTTGAAAATTATTATCGTAATTAAAAGGAAATAAATTCCGAGGACCTAAATCGATGGGATAATAACTGATTAATTAAAATACCCTATATATATATATATATATATATATATATATATATATATCTCATGTTACTAATTACTTGCATTTGTTATTGTTATTTTCGAATTTATTTCGTACAAATTCGAAAATATATATATATATATATAAAGTTTGTTGAAATTGAAATATGAGGTGTTCCAAGTTTCAACTGAACTTTGTATCGTGGCACGAAAAACATAGAATTTCCGAACCAATCCTAGTAGATAGGCAGATAACAAAGTATATGAAATTTTTTAACACAAACAAATAACAAAAAATATGAGTAAAATTCAAAAATCGTCCGAGGTTTACTATGTGAACTTTATGTAAGCTATGCCGGAATAAAATCCACTTTAAATTAAATTTCCTTGATAATGCTGCTAAATTCAATGCTATTTTTTGGCTGGACCAAAAAAAAAAAAACAAAACCTTGAAAAATACTGCTAAAATCCTAAAATTAAAACCTGGACCTGCATAGGCAATTTTCTGTTACAGACTGAAGTACACATTAGGGACTTCAAATACGAAAATTGATACAATTCTGATGAATAACGTCACTTTAATCATGCCGAATATGGGGAGGTACCTTTATAAGGGGGCTATACAAGGACTGAACCTGCATAGGCACTTTAGTACCCATTATCTTTCAAATGAAAAAGATTAGGAAGAAAATATTTTTCTTTTCATATTTTCCTAGAATATTTATCCAGTTTCCGGTAGAAAATTAGGGCTAATGCATTAAGGACCGAAAATTAGATGCCTATATGTATGGGGCCTATTTAAATAATGTCCTTTGAAGAACAAGGATTTTCAAATTAAAGTTTTTTTTTTTGGTAGAAAAATTGTCCATCTGAAGCTTTTGAAATTAATATACTTTTCATAGTACAATGGGCTATTTCAAGCCTTCCGAAATTTCGTTCTTCTTATTTCAAAGCATAATATTCCACCCACCTCGAATGGAAAAATGTAACAAGGAAGGAAGAACTGTGGACAGATATCAATATCTTCTCGTAGGAAAAATCCAACCTGAATCCTAAATTCAGAATTGACCCAGTTTAATATAAAAAATCAGGGATTACAGTTATATGCGGTCCAACAATATAGTGGTCCTATAAAACACATTTTCTGCAGGACTATTTGTATCCTCTGAGAACATGAACTTTCAAATCTAGGCAAATTTGATAAAAAAAAAATAGAAACTTTCGAAATACTTTAAATCGGAAGGTGTCGTTATATTGGCCTAGACTAACGTTTCTTTTCCGAAATCCAGATCGAAGTATATCATTCTCCATTTTATTGAATTTTTTCTAATACTAATAAAAATATTGGAATGTGTAAAATCCATAGAAAATCGAACCATTATTTCTGGGGGAGCTACCAGAAGGAGTAAAACGGCATATACTATATTTCCATTAGATCTGTCGCTGGTAGAAATATCGAGATAAACGAATTTGGGTAAAAATCGCGGATATGTTTCGTATGTAATATCAAATTATATTCAAAATGTGTATCACTTTTGAGGAAGGAGTGGACCGATAAATTTCATATTCACATGAGATCTCCGTCTGAGAGCAATATTTAGATATACTAAGTTGTTGTATGAAATATAATTATTTGAAATTGTGAGCTGCCAAAAGGTGTTGTCCGATACATCATATCTATACACCAGATCATGTGTTACTAGAAATATTGGACTGTATGAAGTTTGAAAAGAATCGAATGCTGATTTCGCACTTTATGAGTGTTTTGATTATTCAAAAATTTAAATCCTTTATGCGGAGGTAGTGAGCCGTCATAACTCCTCTTCTCAGAATCGGATGTTTTTTTTTAACATTTAATGAGCGTTTTGATTATTCAACATTTTGGACCTTTGTGAGGGACCTTACACTGATGAAAATATTAGAAATTGCAAAGTTAGCTTTTTGAAGTTTGAACTTTTGTGTGGGAGATACTAGAGGGAGTGGGCCGATATTGCCCATCTCCGAACTCGATCTATTTTTAACAATTATATTAATAACTAATATTGACAGCTCGAAATCTTCATGAGGTTATTTTAAGAATTTAAACCCAACCGTTTTTCTGTCCCTTTTATTTAAATAAACATTCATTTGTAAAAAATATTTACCAAAGTCAAACGGTCCCCCCTTTAAATAATTATAAAAATTGGAAAATAAACAAAAAATTTTGAAATTGTCCTAGAATCTAGGAATTGAATTGTCCCCTACATAAGTTCTTCTTCAATTGGTCAAAGATTCATAAATTTGTATTTCATTGATTTAATCCTCTTTTGTATGAGCATTAATCCTGTTTTGTATGGGGTATTATGTCCATTTGTTTATCTTTTGATATAGCCTTCGTAAATGAGGCTCAGTATTACAAATTATCTGAAAGGTTTGATTTTTGAGAACCCCAAGCTCCTCTTTCATAAAATCTCCCGCACTCAGATTGCCTCCTCATATGTTGAATATACATTTTATTGTTCTCGACCCTTTTTTATCATTCCCAAGTACATCTTATTAATAAAATTACTAATTTTGTTGTCCCGTAATTCGATTGTATCAATAACAAAAATTAAGTTTTTTTTTTTTTCGGAAGGTCAAAAAACTATTACCAAAAATATTGTTATTTCCCAACCCACTGTGATCACTTAACATTGAATGTTAGTCAAGACATAAACCATGCGACAATACTACATGATTGCGATGCAAAATTGTTTGTTGTTTTTGTTTCTGTAGTCTTTTTATTTTTCCCCCCTATATGTGTTTGTTTGTATTAATTTTCAACTTTTATTTTTAAATTAAATTTAAAATTAGATTTTGTTTTTGCAAAGAACGAGACGAAGAATAGATAAATGAATGATGATCCGTTGGGCGGGAGGCAGGGAAGGATGGTTAGATGGATCGGTGAAGTGCGGAATGGTTGGATGTTTGGCTGTGTTGTGGTGTGGTGCAGTTGTTGTTTGGTAAATATATATTTGTATGTTGGTTAAATGGATGGTCAGAGACAAAGGAAACGAAAAATAAGACTTACGTAATGAGACGTTCACAGTTGTAACAAATATTTTGGCCAACTGGCAAACCCCCAGTGCTGGGAGGTTTGGGTTGAGTTACTGGTGCAGTGACATGTTTGGTGGCCGAGGGCTGGTATTGTTGTTGTGGTGGTTGATATTGAGATTGTTGTTGTGGTTGATATTGAGTTTGTTGTTGGGGTTGATATTGAGTTTGTTGTTGTTGTTGCTGATGATCTTGACCAGGGTAATTTCCGAATGCTGTCGAATATGGATAGTAATAGCGTGAGGAGTACATGACGATGTCAGACGGACACACAGACGTTCGTTCGTTTAGGTGATTGATTTGATGTATTTCGTTATAGCAGTTGAATGTTGATAAATTATTCACACCAAGGAAGTTTGTGTGTTCGGGCGTAGTTTTTCAATGTTTTATTATTTTTTTGTAATGCGTAATGTTTTTGTGTGTGGTGAACAGTTTCAGGAGATGTTTCCAGTCCAAAAGTATAACGTCAAATGATCGGACATGAATCAAGAAAATACACAAAAACATATAAAAGTAGCCAACAAGACATAGACGAAGGCATTCCACAGACAATTATAGAAAGAAAGATGAAAAAAAACAAGAAGAAGAAGAAGATGATGAGAAAAAACAAACATATTTTTCAATCAGTAGATATGCAATACAACAGGTCCAAAAAATAACATACACATGTACATACAAACTACTATATAAACTGTTCGGAAAATAAGTATGAAATAAAATAAATGGCAAAAACAGATGTCTTTGGATCTCAGATATAATATAGGATCTTCTTTTCCTTTACTATATGGAAAGGAATATTTCAAGGTCTTCTTTGGCAAGTTTTAAAAAAATATGCAGCTATAAAACGCTGTTATCCCTCTAATCCAAACTATTAATTTAATTAAAATACTATTAAGATTGACTGTTTCCTAGATTTATGTCATTTGAGATCTGAGAAATTTTAATAATTCTGAATCAATTCATCAATGCCATGCATCATCTACTAAAGGATTAGTCCCACCATTAATGGCAAATAGTGTTTGAGCTAAAGCATAGTAATCGTTGAAATTACCTGGAGTTGAGGTGCCAGATTCTTCTTCGCGCAAGAATTTCAAAACTTCAGACTTATCGGCCTGGTATTCCTTTTCGTTTTTCTTGAAGTTAACACTGCAAAGAGAGGAGAAAATATAATTATGTAGATTTACATTCAGTGCCTGAAAGTATGCTTTAAATTTAGTCTAATTAAATTATTTAAGTACACTAGTCAACGATTCACATTCATTCACACACATTCATACGATATGCGATTATTGAAATAAGATATTTTCCTAACGAACACACATTTTTGTAATGTTTTTTTTTTTTCGTTTCAAATCTCTTCCAGAACGTCGATGAATTTTCCATGCGAAACAAAATAAGATTTTTTACATTTTTTCAAATATCCTGTAAACTAAAAAATTTAGTCGAAAAATAGCCAGGAAAGAAAAGAACGTATATTTTTATATTCTCTTCCATTCTATAGAGGGTATATAAGCGTTGTACTTCCATTATTAACTCCTCGCAATATTCATGATAGACCTTACAAAGTATATATATTCTGTAAAATTCTAAGACGATTTAGCGATGTCCGATGTTCGAGCGAATTTTTTAACCACAGAAAATTTTCGTTTATAAAATGCAATATAGAAAAATGTAATGAAATTCTAATATTTTTCAAATTTGGAATTTGACAATATTCAAAAAAATAAAATCCGGTAAAAAATGCTGTCAAAATCTTAAAAATACCGAATGTAGCCGTATATTAGGGTCTATACGACGACGTGGACCTGCATAGGCAACTTTTGTCATAAACCATTACAATATTCAAATACGAAACTTGAAAATAAAGATCAGCAAAATAATGTAGCTAAAACCATCAAAATATCGAATATGGGGAGGTACCATTATATTGGGGCTATAGGAAGACGTGGCGCAGACAATTTCCTGTCATAAGCTGTAGTATCTGTTACGAACTTCAAAAACCAAATTTGAAGCAATTTCGGCGAAAAATGTCGCTAAAATCATCAAAATACCGAATATCGGGAGCTGTACGAAGACACGAATCTGCAAAAACAATTTTTTTGTCTTAGGCTATAGTATCCAATACAAAATTGGAATACAAAAAAAATCCGGTGAATATAGTCGCTATAATCATCAAAATGCCGAATATTGGGAGGTACCGTTATATGGGGACTATACGAAGACGTGGACCTGCACAGACAATTTCTTGTCATAGGCTGTAGTATCCATTTGGAACTTTGAATACCAAATTTGAAACATTTCCGTTGAATAATGTCGCTTAAATCACCAAAACACCGAAAAAGGGGAGGTACCATTATATGGGGGCTATAGCAAAACGTGGACCTAAATGACCCACTTTTAATACCAAAAGTCCTGCAGACATAATACACATTTGAGTAAAGTTTTATCAAACAATTTTATTTTTTTATCTTTTGGAAGCTAGAGTGATTTCCACAGACGGAAAGACGGGCGGACAACGCTTAATCGACATAGAATTTAATGCTGATCAAGAATATATATATTCTTGTGGGGTCTAAAATGTATAATTCGTGGTGTTACAAACGGAATGACAAACTTAATATACTATGTTGGAAGGTATGAAAAGTATTTTAAAGTAATTTATTTATTTGGTGTTATTGTTTAAATTTCCATAGGAACCTAACATAAGAATTAATTACGAAGTTTAGAACAAATTTTATTAAAATCTGAGGTTTAAGGGATCAAGTTACAGTTTGAACTTTTAGGTGTGATGGACTAGTAATTTCTCATAGTTTTCCTAATGTCAAAATATTTTTAAAATAAATTATCTATCGAAAAATGCGGGAATTCGAAATTCAAGTTTTTCATAGAAGTCATTCTTTTAGTCTGTATGTCAATTTTTTTTAAACCTACTATCGGAAATATCGAATCGGGCAACCATCGATGTGTTGCCATTTCCTCCTCCAGAAGTCAGCAAATTTCCACTAACTTCTGGAGGAAGGTAAAAATCGAACAAATCCAATAAAATTGTTGGAAAATTTTAAATGGAGTATATAAATATGATTTATTAGTAGTTCCTGCCAGCGATGCCAACTTAGTGCTTTTAGCGCTATTTATAATGCTTTTTAGACCCCCCAAAATGCCATAATAGTGGACATAGCGCGAAACGAAAAAAGCACAGTAAGTACGCTTTTCATCTTTTCTGTTGGTGCTTTAAGCGGGTTTTAGATTTTAAAATATGGCAATGTTTTTTACATTCGAATATTTTGATAGCATGGCAAATTCTTTACTGCAAATTCTTTACGTGTCTTTCATTCCTGTCAGTGGAGTTCTTTTCTTTACATTTTGCATAAACCAAACCAATTGAAGGAAAAGTAAAATGAACGAGAAAAAAAAAACGCGGATGTCAATTCTAATATGGAACTTAGTATTGATAATAGATAGATCTGGATAGAAGTAAATGAGTTCAAAGATTACATAGGGCAAAATCCCTTTCAAGATTTATCATAATTCGTTATAAGAATACTCAAATGCAGAAGTAAAAGAGCATTCAGTGCTATGAATTTATATAAATCGAAAATCTGAAACATATTATCCTTAAATTCTGTAAATTCTATTTTACATATTAAATATGGCCTTCGTCGAGAGAATACGTGCTGTGACAAATATGACCTGCCGTCAATTGTCTGTAAAAAAATTCTGCACAGGAAGTTTACGAAAAGTCAAATTATTTTTTACCAACCTTTTTATGGCAAAATGAAGAAACTGATGCAGACATTCCAACTGCATTTGAAGCTATGGGTTTTATAAGTGAACAGAATTGTTTCTAAAAATGTATATGTCTGTAAGTTTTAACCACATGTAAAATGTTCTTAATATATCATATTTTTTTAAAATATGCATGCACTTATATACATGAAATATTTATATAAGATACGATCTAAATGTTTGAAAAAAACAGTATTTATTTTAAAAAAAGTGTTTTATTGACAATTTTGGCATTTTTGTTAGAAAAAATACATGGCGCTTTTTACGCTTGTTTTAAGAAGGTTTTTACGCCATTTACGCTTTTAGCTCTCAAAATGTTGGCAACACTGAACACGAAAATGAACATGATTTAATGGAAGACGAATTTTAGCTCCGTCCATAAAAATGTAATATACACGAAATCTCGTAGAACAATATAAAATATATGCTACACGTTTAATGTATTTCCTAGAAGAATTTTCCAAAAGATCCCGTGAACTTAAGGGAAAATTTTTGTAATTTAAGCTTCACCCTGATTTTTTATAACCTCCCAGTCATTGATCTTCTAGTAGTTTAATAATTTAGAAAATTTGTTAATGAAATTTTATGTGTGATATACATACTCCATTTATTTATTTTTATTTCCTGCAAACTGATATTTCTTTTTTCAAATACTATTGAGATAATATGTGCGTAGCAAGAAACTACAATTCTAAGAACATAGACCTCTTTCATACGTAATAAACACATATCTCATAATTGCCAAATAAACAAAAAGTCTTGGGCACTGTGCCAATTTTTTTTTTTTTTTTTTTGACAAATTTGGTTTAAATATCTCGAACTAAATTTAGATCAATGGCAGGCGACGCCAATTAGTTTGCATGCACTTAAGTGACGCCTGTAGTAGGTAGTAGGTAGTGTCAACTGCCTACGTGGGTATTTACATATAAATAAATATTTGTATATATATTAAAAAAAAACATGTTAGCATGCCAAGTGTTTGCAATAAATCATAGCGTGTTGTTTGGTAGAATGTCGAAAGCAATGGATATTGTCAAACTAATGTTTCGAGGGTGTGGGGAATTATTTTGCTCCAGGGGAACAACTGAAACATATAAATTTGAAAAGAAAAGAATTTTAATGGAGAAACATGTTTGTGCCTTGAAACAACTTTTCTATGGGGGTTTTATAGATCAACAGTTTATTTTCATTTTCTAAGATGAATCGGTATATAATTTTATAGTTTCTATCTATCTTCTTCGAAAATATATAAACTTTTAATGAATTTCAAGACTTCATCTTCCGCTCCTCGCTTTATACCACTCCTTGTTAAGAGTTGCATGTTGTATTATAAGCACAAATAAGGTAAATTTTTAATATTAGTTTATAATTCGCTATACATCAGTAGTTCAGATGAGAGTCGTTTACTAAACCTGAATCACTTATTAAAAACTTCTTATTTTAATCCAATCCAAACCATTCCAATTTCGAACATAAAATGACATTACACATTTGGTATAGTCACATTCCAAATTTGTAATGTAATTTTATCTCTTAGTTAGATATAAGTAACAAAAATAAATATATATACGGTTGCCGTCAAAAAATAGCAGCGCACCCTATCTTCAATAATCCACTACTGTTCTAACCGTTATAGTATGTTAGTGCAAAACAAAACGAGTAATAATTTTGGCATGGTTTTTACACGTGGTGTTGTACTATTGGTTAGTTTCAAATAGTTGTCTTATTAATGCAGTCTAAAAAATAACAGCAGGTTATAAAAATCAGAAAATATCTTTAAATATTTTTCTTAATCAATTATTTTTCTTAATCAAGAAATGGATATAAATATTGGCGCGTGCCAAGTCTGAATGGAATCGAATGTTGATTTAATTTTATGAGCTCCATGGATAGAGTGGATCGATATTGTCCATTGTCACACCTGACCTTACACTGAGGAAAATTCTAAGATTTGCAAACGTGGAGCAAAATTTCTCTTTCTGTGTATTTAAATATTTCTGAAAATTTCGACCTTTTGTTTTTTGTTTATTGCCCATCTCCAAACTCGATCTAAGTTTGATAATAATAATATTTTAAAAAGTGTACGTCTATTTAGAAAATTTGCTATCCTGCAACTTTTGATAAAAAATAGCTTAAGTTCGTCGGGCATGTTATTCAAAAAATAAGACTATGTTGAAAATAAAATTCTCTAATGAAAAAATTTAATCAAGAATAAGCAATAATAAATCTTATCAACTCGTGAAATTAACCTGCTAAATATTTAAAAAAATCAAGACAAATTTTTGGCAAAATAAAAACATATTTTGAAAAAATTTTGGAAAATCGAGAAATCGTTTGTAACTATTCTTAGTGCCCAGGTG